TCTTTCTTTTTTCGTTTTTGTTTGTGTTTTTTTCTTGGGTTTGTATTTGTGTTTGTGGTTGGTTTTGCGTTTGAATTTGGTTTGTTTTCGTTTGCTTTTTCGTTTGTTTTTTTCTTTGTGTTGGTATTGGTGTTTGTGGTTGGGTTTGTTGTTAGGTTTTTGTTTTCGTTTGTATTTGTAATTGTGTTAGCGTTATGTTTGCGTTTTGTTGTTTTGGTTTTGGTTGGTTGTGGTTTGGGTGGGCAATGCCGGGTTTATGATGATTACTAAACACACAGGTACTGGTCTTTAACAGAAAGGTTTTTCACAGAAGCCAGAGCAGGGCCTGGCCGGGACGGCTAGTACTTTATAAATTCACATGCGTTTTTTGAGAAATCGTAAATGTAAGCCCTGCTAGATTGTAGGAAAAAAGTCACAGGAAAAAAAACACAGGGAAAAAAAAACAGAAAAAAAGTCACAGGCAAAAAGTCACAGGAAAAAATGTCACAGGAAAAAAGTCACAAATATATATTTGCATGATATTTGTTAATACTTTTATGTATTAAATATTTAGAGAGTGCAAATTAACTTAGGATTAATTAAATGTAATGTAATGTTTGTAGGCTGTATACGCATAGGAATTTTTATAATTCCTCTAAAAATATTTATTATGAAGTATGTAGGCCTAGATTGTAATTATTTAAACTTAAGATTAGTAGCATTTAGTAGAATGTTCCAACGTCCTCGGTTTTCATCGTGTTTTTTTTTAAAAATACCAATATTAAATTACCGTGAAATGGTAAGTTTATCTGACTTGCTGCCCTCAACTCATGGCAACAATAGTTATGTTTAGTTCAACCACCTTTACTGCCCACATTTATCACACTCATTACATAACAAAACTTAGGATCAAAACAGAAAGCCGACAAGGTTCAAAGGCTGTCATTGACGCGTAACGTCAACAACACATAATATGTTCGGACAATGCCTACTGAGGAGAGGCCGACCAGAGAATAACCTACGGCAAAATGTGCCTAAATTTCTTTTATAATTAACTTTTCTACCGTGTATTTAACTAAATACAAATCTCGACGTATTTCACCTCACTGATACGGAAAAACATAATTTTGCAATCTTGTCCGTATGTCTGTGTGTGTGTGTGTGTGTGTGTGTGTGTGTGTGTATCTGTCCGTGTGTAAACACGATTACTTGAGTACCGTTACAGCTAGGTTTGTGAAATTGCATATATAAGTATTTTATCAAAATCGTAGATCAGTATCAACTTTTGAGCGATTTCCGATAACCGGAAGTGGTGCTTTTCCTACTTTGAATTTTTCAAAAGCCTATAACTTGAGTACTATTTCAGATAGATAAATGAAATTTCACAAGTAAGTAAAAGATCGAATTATCTGCCTCCTGTCAAATTTTGAGTAATTTCCGTTGACTGGAAATACTAATTTACGCTATTTTCGATTTCTCAAAAAACGCATGTAAATTTATAAAGTACTAATAATATTGCGCACTATTATGCACATTTTGTTTTGGCGTTCGCTTGGTGCGCAATTCTTTTTTCTATGAGTTTCCATTCTATTTTTAAAAGTTTGAGTAATTAAAAGTCATGTCTATATTTCAAGTTATATAAGAATATTCGAGAAAGTTTAGGGGAGATCATTCCCGGTTTATTTTGCATGATTACAATACTTCCTCTATACTTTGTATACGAGAAAGTTAAAACGATTAAGCTAACGTAAATATCAATTAAAGTTAAAAATGTAAAATATTAAAAGTGCATGGGTTATAGTTATAGATCTACTTATGTTAGGAAACTTGAAGTTGAATGCAGACAAAATAAAATAATTATTAAAATTGCTTCGATCGTGAATCGAAACTGTAAATTAATTTACTTAAAAAAATAATTCAGTGTATAGGGTGTGGAATTACCAGAGGCGTAGAATAGGGGGGGGGGGGGGGGTTGGGTGGCTGCCCGGGGCGTTAACTCTAGGGGGCGCCATAAGGGGTTGAAACAAATTTAAGCTCATTTTAAGCTGCGTTTTAAATTATAGCCTAATCACTCACAGTTAAGAAATTTAACGGCTACAAGCCTTTCCATACTGATTTAGCTGTTTTCTACCTTGAATGTGTAACTGTAAAACATATAGGGCGGGGGAGGCCTACCTTTAAGAAACAGTGACCGGCATAAACTAGTTTCCATTTTTTCCTTGGGGGGGGGGGGGGGGGGGGGAGGGAAGGGGTGGGGGGGGGGGGGGCGCTTTTTCGCTGAATAAAATCGGAAGGATTTACAGTCGATTGATGAGTCGATAAACTTTACCGTTTATAAAAGAAAAATTGTATTAAAAAGTATTGTGTAACAGTAAAATAAGAAAAGGGTGGTGGGTGGGGCGCTTTTTCGCCAAGGTAAATGGGAAGTCTATACACCAGAACGGAGAGTAGATCAGAGGCGTAGCTATGGGGGGGGGGCAGGGGGGTACATATGTCCCCGGGCGCCGACCTTAGGGGGCGCCAAAATGGGTTGTAAAAACAAATTAAAATGTCATTTTAGCTGCATTTTTGCATTATAAATAGTTTGATGGGAAGGGGGGGGGGGGATGCAAATCGAAAGTTTGATGGGGGTGCAAATCAAAAGTTTAAGGGGGGGGCGTCAAATTGAAAGTTTGTCCCCGGGCGCCGGGAGGGGTCGCTACGCCTGTGGAGTAGATAAATCGCTTAACACTTAGAATAGAAACCAATACTATTTACGCGTATTGTACGATTTCACTAGGCAGTTTTGTTAAGGGCGACTAGTTCTTTATAAGATTCTTACTATTCTCTCGACTTCAACGTAAGAGATCAGATAAGTTTACTTAATTGCTTTTCATCTTGCCTGGATCACTGTATTAAGAAGTCGATTCTCTCTGCCGAAATTTTAAGAGCTAAAAAAATTAGTCTATTGTACAGAATAGATCATTTTTTGATTGCTTGTTTACTAACAAGTCCCTGCAATTTTCATATAGTTAGGGCCACTAGAAATATTAAACGAGGTGAAAACCAAAAACTTATATTATAGGATTAGTAGCGCAATACAGGCCCTGTTCGCCTACCCCCCTCCCCCCCCCCCCACACACACACTGAATGCCAATGCCTGTACAGTAAATAGGGGACTGGGAGCCTTTTTGGAACTTTTAATTATTTCTACAGTAGAAAATTAACTGGATTTCCTTTTTCTTTTTAACATTATTTACATAAAAAACTAATATTAAAATTCCAAGTTTTAGTTTTGTTAAAGAGAAAAGGGACCTCTATGTGCCTTGGGCCCCTATGCCAAGAGTTTCTTACCGAGGAATGGTAGGTGATATGTAACTTCAACTTTGGAATCAAGCAAAAGTGTTGGTGTCGTTGCTTTAAGCGTAGCTCTATGCTTTGCTGTTCATTTTGAAAAAAATGTAAACGCATACATGTTTCAGTCATTTATAAATTTAGGCATGGATATCATAGGCCGGAGCAAACCTAGCCGTGTAGAAGCGTACCGTTCGCGTATCTCTTACGACAAGATACTTCTGTCTGATGGCAAGACGCCTGTGTCTGATGGCAAGACGCCTGTGTATGATGGCAAGACGCCTGTGTATGATCTTCGTCTTCTCCGATTTAATTTTTAGCGTTGGAAGGGCTCCCCTCCAACGCAATTAAGTATACCTGTCAAGTGGTTATGCGCCATTGAGGCCATTGACTCCGATTTCAGCCTGCTTTTCTTTTCTGGATTTGCTTCCATAGCCTTTGTACAACCGAGAACACAGCAGTTGTTTGATTTTGGAATTGTATCTCCCTGAAGAGTGGCTGTCCCCAGCTAACGAGCCTCATCTGCCCGAGGGTTCGAACTAGAATGTTTTCGGTTTAGCAACTATGGGCTTTACCGACTTGACCACGCCGAACCCTTTAGTGTCTGATGACAAGACCGCTAGCCACCAACAGCCTTAACCATCAAATGTCACTAACAAGTCATACCTTGTGCTTTGTCACCACAAATCAATATAAATTAAAAATGTCACAACATATAACATTGCCCCCAATTAAACATGTCACAATAAATAAATTAAAATATTCAGCGCGTATAATCTAAAATGGTGTTTTCACCTCTTTTTACGATGAGCCTAAGGCGTGACTAATGCCAATATGTTTTTCATTAAAAAAAATTGTGATCCAATATTTCTCACCGTAATTAATATTTCTTTGCGCAACTAAGATAATTAGTTACACAAGAAGAAGTGTGAAATCCACTTTCTCCTCGTTCGATCTTTTACGGCAGATGAGTTGTGGCGATCCACAAGGGGGGGGGGGGGTGGGGGCGTCTGGCGGTCTACGCTGTAGCAAGAACTAATTGCTATCTAACAAATATTTGAACCCACGATTATCGTGTTATCGATTAGTTCTCTAAGTGCTGACCCTAATTTTGTTTAGATTGCAAACACGCAGCTGTCACGTCGCGCCCTGCATAGGTTTTAAACCTTTAATCAAACAATTTGGATGTTGTCTTTCCGTTCAGTTCCACGGTGAAAAACAGATTACATGAAGTTACAAGAAATAATTGAAGTCGATAATATTGAGAGGAAGAAAAACAAGTATAAAAGCACTCATTAGCTCATACTAGTTTAGCGGCTCTCTTTGTGACCAGCTTTTGGTCTGTGGGTCTAGTTGAGCAGCTTTTGGTCTGTGGGTCTAGTTGAGCAGCTTTTGGTCTGTGGGTCTAGTTGAGCAGCTTTTGGTCTGTGGGTCTAGTTGAGCAGCTTTTGGTCTGTGGGTCTAGTTGAGCAGCTTTTGGTCTGTGTGTCTAGTTGAACAGAAGGTTCACGTATTAGCGACTATTGTTGGCACCGTTCAAATGATGTATTTATAAGGCTTTAAAAAAATAACGTACATCATATTGTTACGTGACGTCTGGCCTTAACCTTGAACTGTAAACTTGGGACGTGTAAATATTTTTAAATGTTTGTTTTGTTTTGAAAGAGACACGTCGTGGTTGGGACACCATGTCTTTGAATAACAATGTCGAAGATGGTGACACAGCCAACAGTAGCCACAGTGCTAACGCCCCTGAACCTCTGGTTAGCCCAGAAGTCTTTAACTATTTCATGACGGCAGTGATGGACGTCGTGTGCTCTCTCATAGCCACGTTCGGCATCGTCTCCAATGTCATCAACATTGTTGTGTACGGCAGGCAGGGCGTTAGGGAGAGTGTCAACATAACCTTCATCGCCCTCTCGCTCTGGGACCTCTGTAACTGTATGCTGTGTCTTGCCACTGTCGTCTGCTTCATCATCAATGACCACTTCCCCTCAGCCGAGGTGGACGTTCTCGCGGTGCAGTACGTGTACATTGGCTACACTCGGGGATGCACATACGCTCTCTCCACACTCGTCACAGTCTACCTGTCCATTGAGAGGTGTATCTGCATCATCTTCCCATTCAAAGTCAAGGACATTTTCACCAGAGCACGCTCACTTTGCACAAATCTGGGCATTCTCTTGTTTGGTGTCGCCTGCTTCTCGCCGGCCTGGGCTAGCCAGGGTTTGCAGTGGCAGAGGGAAGCAACTCTCAATGTCTCTCGTCTGGTGCTCTGGGTCTCCACCAGCAGACGACAGGTCGATCTCTTCGTAGACACATTCAATGGCGTGGTGCTCCCCACGGTGGCTCAAGTGGTTATCACTGTTACATCGGTTATCATGATCTCTGGAGTCAGAGCGTCCTCACAGTTTCGTGCCAGAGCACCAAAAGGAAAGGACAGCGGCAGCTCTACCATGGGATCCGTTGTTGGGGGCCCGGGCAGCTCTACAAGGGCAGTTGGGGGCCCCGCACCACGACAAGGGCCCCAGAGGACAGTGGCTGGACCAACAGAGCAGACCCTACCAAACAAGGACGGAAAGGTGGCCAAAGTAGTCGTTCTGGTGGCCGTGATCTTCTTCATGTGCAACTTGCCCGTGCTACTGGTAGCTTACACCCGCCCCTTCGTCCCGGACATGGACGTGGGAAAGGCGTACTACAGCCTGTACCTCATGGTCTACACTGTAGTCTACGTCTCGGGGCTGGTCAATGCGAGTGTCAACATCTTTGTTTATTATTTTGTCAGCAGTAAATTCAGATCAACTTTTATGGACACGTTTTGTAGCTGGGGCCCTTTCTGCAGGCGCTAGGGAAAATAATCTTTTGTAAGTCCACTCATATCCAGTTTAGTTTTAGCTTACATTAAAGTTATCTTATTAATATATTATGGACTTTGCTCGTCTATAAATCGATATATCAAGGGAAATTACTCGGTCAATATTTTATAGCGTGTTTATACATTTGAAATCGTCTTACAATTTTATTCTTAACTGACACCGGTTTTTAACATTGTTTTAATTAGTAGCCTTTTCCATTACTAATTAATACTTTTCAAATGCTACACTTCTTGCACATGCGCTGATATATAATAATCATCCTGCATGTACCATGGGAACGAGCAAAGATGCACCGAACACAGAACAAGCTAAGAATTACGATCAATGGGAGGCAAAAATTCAGATTTTAATGTTCGTATTTTTATTACAAGCTTTTATTTAACTCACTTCCTCGTCAGTCTGTCGTCAGTCGTCAGTCTAGACGGAAACGCAGGAGTGAAAATTCGGACAGTTCTACTTGACCGACACGATTCACAGTTGGCACGTGGGTCAAGACATGAAGACAATGCAATCTGAAACTAAATTTGACTTAATTGGATGCCTAATTGATTTTTTATGAATTAATTAAAATTTGGACCGAATTAGTAGGCATGTCTAGCCAACCACACCACACGCGTCATCAATAGCTGCGCCATCACGACCACGTAATGGCTGCGTTCAAAAACCATTGCGCGCCTACTGAACGTGATATTCAGTAGGCGCGCAATGGTTTTTAGTCATGTAACTCTATTGTAGATAAAACATGTAAAGTACTGAAAAAAAAATTCATAAAAAACGTTTTTAATAACAAGCTTTTATGTAATGATGCACTAAAAAGTAGAAAATAAATTATAGACTACTGTTTAAATAACTATAAAGAAAAGCGTGGGTGTCTTCCTTAACATTAGTAAAGGTATCCAATAGATACTAAAGTGACCCACGCTTTTCTTTATAGTTATTTAAACAGTAGTCTATAATTTATTTTCTACTTTTTAGTGCATCATTACATAAAAGCTTGTTATTAGAACGTTTTTTATGAATTTTTTTTAAGTACATCAAATGTATGAGCCACCCGTCCTTATATGTGTGTGACGTCATTTGATGAAGACTTCCGTGTCGATGAAATTCATTGAAGTTGAGAGATATGGCCCGGGGTGGTGGTACATCTGATGTGAACCTTGTGTAAAATTGCAGGTTTCTCGATGGTGCGTTGAACCCAGCAACTGGTGGCAAACTTTAGTTTTTCTTTTGGCTTTTGCTTGGTTATCCAACACCTTAAAACTAGTATATCTATAATATAAGTATAAGGAAGAGACCCACGCTTTTCTTTCTAGTTACTTAAATAGTAGTCTATATTTTATTTTCTACTTTTTGGTGCATTAGTACATAAAAGCTTGTTATTAAAACGTTTTTATGAAATTTGTTTTAGTACTTTACATGTTTTTTTTTACAATAGAGTTTCATGACTAAAAACCATTGCGCGCCTATTGAATGTGACGATGCGCTATTGAACGTGATGACGCGTGTGGTGTAGTTGAATAGAAATGCCTACTAATTTGGTAACAATTTTAATTACTTCATAAAAAATTATTTCGGCATCCAATTAAGTCAAATTGAATGTCACGATGCATTGTCTTCATGTCTTGACCCACGTACAAATTAAGAACCGTATCTATCAAGTAGAAGTGCCTGCAATTTCGCTCCGGCGGTTCGATCTAGACTGACGACAGACAGAGGAAGCGAGTTAAATAAAAGCTTGTAAAAAAATTCATAAAAAACGTTTTAATAACAAGCTTTTATGTAATGATGCACTAAAAAGTAGAAAATAAATTATACACTACTATTTAAATTACTATAAAGAAAATCGTGGGTCACTTTAGTACTTTAGTACCTATTGGATACCTTTACTAATATTTGAGAAGAGACCCATGCTTTTCTTTATAGTAATTTAAATAGTAGTGTATAATTTATTTTCTACTTTTTAGTGCATCATTACATATAAGCTTGTTATTAAAACGTTTTTTATGAATTTTTTTTCAGTACTTTACATGTTTTATTTGCAATAGTGTTACAAGACTAAAAACCATTGCGCGTCTATTGAACGTGATAGCGCAGCTATTAAACCTGATTGAACGTGATGACGTATGTGGTGTGGTTGGATAGACATGCCTACTAATTCGGTCCAAATTTTAATTAATTCATAAAAAATTAATTAGGCATCCAATTAAGTCAAATTTAGATTCAGATTGGATTGTCTTCATGTCTTGACCCACGTGCCAACTGTGAATCGTATCGGTCAAGTAGAACTGTCCGAATTTTCACTCCTGCGCTTCGATCTAGACTGACGACAGACAGACTGTCGACAGAATGAGAATGTCGACATCTGTCGACAGACTGTCGACAGAGGAAGTGAGTTAAATAAAAGCTTGTAAAAAACCTTTATTGCAACGAGCTTTTAAAATTCACTGAAAATAAGAAAAAACTAATTTGCTTTTTTCCCATAAAAGCTTTGGTCGCTAAAATATGTAAAAGATCTCATAACCAAAGCTTGTTGTTAAAAACAAATGTATTTTATTTGTTTAATTTTCTTTTTTAGTGACTGCTAATTTATGAATTCGACGCGACTAAAAATATTTGCTTTAATAATTATCATTAAAAAAGTTAAAAAAAACACGTTTTCTGATTGAACTAAAAAGTAGAAAATAAATGCTATACATCACAATAATGCAAGCGATCACCCTACTATAAGCGATGAAAAACGTGGGGCGCCGAAGTAAAAGTTTTTTATCGGTCATTGTTAATATAAGATGTAAAAGTTATATTACTATTGATTAGATAATACTATTGACTTTTATTAGGGAGCTTGTAGAGAGTCAACAGTATTAGAAACTGTAAGAAAATCACGGCGCCCCACGTTTTTCATCGCTTATAGTAGAGTGATCGCTTGTATTATTGTGATGTATAGCATTTATTTTCTACTTTTTAGTTCAATCAGAAAACGTGGGTTTGTTTGCATTAAAATCTTCCTATCGATTTTATCTTTTCGCAGTCACTTTTTTTTTGGGTAAACGAAGACAACTCGTAAAAAACACGTGCCTTGAACCCGTGTCGAGTGGGTTAGCAATCGTGTGCCCAACCACTCGACCATATCGTCTCCCCCATACTGGCCACCAGTTGTTACGGTTGTTTGTACACAAACACCGCGTGACCAATACTCAGTAAGCCAAAAGAGGGAGAGTACCGAACCTTGTTTTCATCAAATTACAATTACTGGGTTATGTTCCCTTTTCCCACGTTTTTTGTACAAATATATAGCGGTCTAAAATGATCAATAAAATGTTTCCATGGATCAATTTAGTAATAATAACAATTGAATATTCTATTGTCATCGGAAACAAAGCTTCCCTGAAAATTTCAACAAGCTAGCTAACTGGGAAGTGCCCGAAATTTCGATCGCAAGATTTGATTGGAGAACCAAACAAACAAACAGACGCGAAAGCAAGTTAAAGAAAACGTGGGGAAATACCATCAGTAGCTCGCGATAGCTAAAAGACGATTATCTGCCCCGTGAAAGCAGCCGTCCGTGACCATACTTTACAGACGACAGCAAGTTCTTAATCTTGCTACCTCTTCATATTTACAAATAGCTTAAAAACTCGATTATATGCCGCAAATAGCCTTCACTAGATCGACCGGCTCTACGATTTTAAACATTCTCGTGAACCACAGCTCACCAGAATGTCGGGTGGTCGGGTCTAGCTAGTTATCTCCCCTTCTGTTATTTGATATAGATTATAATAATCTATTGAGTCATTTAATTTTGTTATCTCCCCTTAGTTTCGAAATACGTTAATTAATTTTTAATAACTAATAAAACATTTTATTAAATTAAAAAAATGATAGGCTTGTATTATCATAGAAGTGGAATGCATCTGGAAAATGTGAACGAAATCGCTACATTAGAAATAGGTCAAAATCGAGTTACAAGATTTGCTACAAATCCATAAACAAAGAAACACAAACAAACCAGAAGACATTCCCAGTGAATGCCACGGCACATACGTTCGTTTTAAAGGGTGCAATGTGCGATGGGTATGTATGATGGTCTACTGTAATTATTCACTAAATCGAATAAGACGCGTCCGTCTGCGCCCAGGCAGGTGCGATTTGGCACCCCGGGACTCCACCCTTGAGCAGATATCGCTACATTCGTTTTAAAGCGAGCCAGGGTCGTACCTGGCGCCCCTACGGTAGTGTAACCGTACCTGGCGCCCCTACGGTAGTGTAACCGTACCTGGCGCCCCTACGGTAGTGTAACCGTACCTGGCGCCCCTGCGGTAGTGTAACCGTACCTGGCGCCCCTGCGGTAGTGTAACCGGTAACTCCTGAGAGCGCCCGAAAAGCCCCTGACTATTATGGAAGGTGGTTCACGTTCACTCATACGGCATGTCATGGACACACACGCACCCCAACCACTCGGATTCAAGAAATATCGAAGCACTCTTGTTTATAATGAATAACGCACTTTTAGAAAACAAAGTCACACTTTTAAAAATAACTTGTTGTAACTCGAGGAAACCACACTGTAGAATTTTGTCACTTTGCGAATGACGCAACCTGCATCAGAGGCGTAGCGAACCTTCCCGGCGCCCGGGGACAAACTTTCGATTCGCACCCCCCTCGAACTTTTCATTTGCAACCCCCCCCCCCCCCCGAACTTAGCGAATGATGCAATCTGAATAATTGTTTACATGAACCAACCAGAAAGTGAGATCACGTGTTTAAAAGTACATTAGTAAAATTAACAGGTTTCATCGGTCACTTCGATGTATATAAAAGAACTAGCCATCCCGACCAGGCCCTGCACTGGCATCTGTGAAAAACCTATCAGTGACGGACCGAGACTTGTGTGTTTATTAAGCAGTATAAACTCTTCATTTCCCGGGTTTAGGAAACATTACTTTTCAAATTGAATGTCTACATTCAGATACGGACGCGAACACAAACGCAAAAATAAACGTAATCACAAACCAAAACAACAACACACACACAAAAGTAACACAAACACAAGCTCAAACACAAACATAAAAGCAAACACAAAAGCAAACGAAATACAAACGCAAACCGCAACACAAACTCAAAATCAAATGTAACACAAACGCAAGCAATAACGTAAATGGAAACATAAACGTAAACATAGAGGACATTTAGGAACTGTTATTTTAACTGTTATTGATAAAAAATAATAATTGGTAAACAGTACATCTAGTGTATAAAACAAATAAAAAGGCTTTTTTTTTAGAAGTCAGAAATAGCGTAAATTACTACTTACGGTCAACGGAAATTACTCAAAATTTGAAAGAAGGCGAAGAATTAGATCTTTTACTTACATGTGAAATTTCATTAATCTATCTGAAATAATACTCAAGTTATAGGCTTATGAAAAATTAAAAGCAGAATAAGTTCCACTTCCGGCTACTGGAAGTCGATACAGAACTACAAATTTGATAACATACTTATATGTGAAATTTCATCAACCTAGGTGTAATGATACTCAATTTATCGTGTTCACAGACATACACACACACACACGCAGATATACGGAAAAAATCACAAAACTGTTTTCTGACCCAGGGAGGTGTAAAACGTCGAGATTTGCAAAAATCTCGATTTATTTTTTTGCACGATTACAATACTCCCTCTATACTTCGTATACGAGAAAGGAAAAAGGTTAGACATATGTATTTGCATGCAGAGGCGTAACGAGGGTGGGGCGGGGGGTGCGGACCGCATCGGGTGACACCATTTAGGAGGGTGTCACCGTGGCAAAAAAAAAAATGCAAAATGTACAGAAAAAAATGATTTTTGCCAGTTCCATTGATGATCAATTAAAGTTAAATAGTCTTTTAAGTACAAATCGACAATTATTACTAGAGGGTGGGGGTGACACCATGAGGTGAACGTTCTAACTATAGAGAAAAACAATGCTACATCCAACTGAATTATTAACATACTATAGATGAACATCATTACTATTATGTTTGCAGTGATTAAAGCTTATGCACATACATGTACGCGAATGCGGCCTATATTTAAATTATAGAGTCCTTTCATATGACGTCACGTCCGTTCGTGATACCTACGTCCGCCGCCACGCTGGTGTACACCAGACGTAAACACAATCAGCTGTTCACCCGCGCTGGCCGCGTTCACTGTATGTAAAGAACCGCACCCGCGGAAAAGGAAAAATGCGTTAAAAAACTTGAACTCTTAGGAATTGAAGATCCTTATACAGTTTCGTAGATAATATAAATATGTGGCCAACATTTCTAAATAAAAATACTGTTAGTAATACTGTTTGCGTTTAGAGTTTAAGTAGACGAATCTGATCAAATGCAGTTCTCGATACTTTGTTTCAGGTAAGGACAGTAAAATAATAAACTTCATTTTAATTCTAAAAGATAATTATTAATAAAACAAATATGCTCGACCTTCACAAATACTAATAGTAAAAGACAAAGTCAAAAGTAATAATAAGAATAATAAGATCTAATAGTAGGCCTAATAATAGTGTTTTAATATCTAGATCTAGAATCTAGCTCTAAACATGGCGTAAACAAAATTCGGACCACATATCTAGATTCTGGATTTAGGGTGACTGGCTCCGCTGACATAGAATTTAGAATCTACTTCTTTACTTAAATTTAATTACAAAATTTAGATCTACATTCTATTCAAAATACACCCATAATAAATCAAAAGTAGTCATAGTAGGCCTAATAAAGCATGTAATTGTCTCTAAGATATAAAATCTCGCTCTACAATCTAATCATTTTTTTAGCAAACGAAATTTTCTGAAATTGAAATAGATTGTATGACTAGACTTAGATCTAGAATCTGCTACTTAAATTAAATTTTAAAAAATGTATACAAGCATGTAATTGATATTATTGTAGTAGAAGACTTTAATAAATTACTATGGCCTACCTACTTTGTGTCTTTTTACAGCAATATGTATCTGATACTGGACTGAGTTTAATTAAATTAAAATGCATATCTAGTAATTAGTCTACTAAGTTTATGTAGCCTAGTAGTAGAATCTAGATCATACCAGCCAACAACAAATAACCACATTATTATTATTTGGTTAATGATTAGGCTAATTTAAAAAAAAAAATCCACTGTTTATAAAAGAAACAAATCAAGCTAGAAACATTATAAGTGAGATGGTTTAGAATAATAACAATGGACCCAGTCTACAATTGATACAATTGCAGGTCTACATAGGGCCTACAGTCTAGTAGTTTACAGTAGGCACCTAGTGTGTAGCTAGTACACTAGTGTGTAGCTGTCCAGAGTTAAGATTCTTAATGCTTTCCCCTGATAAGCCATGTGTGCTATAAATGACATAACATGACATCGAGGTGAGAAATGTTGAAGGGAGAGCAGTGGGACTTTCCCCTTTGTTCTCCCTGCTGGGCCCTGAGGGTATCACGGAGGTGAGAAATTTTCAGGGGAGGGCAGTGGTACTGACTCCTCTTTGCTTTTATTGAGGGTTGAACATCAGTATTAATGTGTCTGATCACTTCCCTGCTGGATTATAAGGTCTTAAATTGTATAACATGCTACCCAGATTGGCTGAGATCTAAGAACAGCAGTGGTTATTACCCATGAATTATATTAGCCGTTGTAGTGTGGGTTTTTTAGGAGTTAAGTGGTCTTACGTTTGCTACAGTAGTGTGGTTGTACTAGATCTGTTGCTACTAAATCTTGTACTTAACAGAGAATCTATAATCTACATTAATCAGATTTAGATAACCTATAATATACCTACTTAAACTCTTAACGCAAACAGTATTACTAACAGAATATTTATTTAGAAATTTCGACCACATATTTATATTATCCACGAAACTGTCAAACAGTATAAGGATCTTCAATTCCTAAGATTTCAAGTTTTTTAACGTATTTTTTCTTTTCCGCGGGTGCCGTTCTTTACACACAGTGAACGCGTCCAGCGCTGGTGAACAGCTGATTGTGTTTACGTCCGATGTACACCACTGTGGCAGCGGACGCAGGTATCACGTGATTTAGGTCACGTGTTTGCAAGGACTCTATTGGCCTAAGTAGGCCGTCACATACACACAAATATATATATATATATATATATATATATATATATATATATATATATATATATATATATATAGGTAAAACTCCATTTCAGCGTATTTTACTCTCCGCTTGTCGTTTACCTCCAGTTGAGCGTATTTTATTATAATAACCGAAACACATCAAAACATTAGGAAAACACGATTTATTTATTTGTATTGTAGAAATGAAATTTATATAATTTATATAGAAAATATTATACTTTTAACAGTGTCCGCCCCCCCCCCCCCCGAGAAAAAAAGTCTGGAAGAAACACTGACGCAATGCTTTATTTATAGATAACTCTTTATTTATTTTATTTAGCATTGTTTCCCCTAGATCAGGGGTTCCCAACCCTGTGCCCGCGGGCGCCATGGTGCCCGCTGAACGATTCGTATGTGCCCGCCTCTCACTATTCGACAGAGACAGAATTTTTTTTCCTAAACATTATTTTTAAATATGATTTATTTTTATTCATTTGTTACAGTTTTAATTATTCTTTTTTTGACTGCCTAGGTTTATTAAATATGTTTGATACTTGTCCCAACGTGCCTAGCGGCGAGCCAGACTGCACTATTTACGTTTTGTAAATACATCTCTCTGTGTGTATGCAATTTGAAAAAAAATGCCAAATAATTTTATTATTTTGAAACAGTTGTGTTTATAATTTATTAATACATTATGACTATAATATAATAAAAAAAATAAGAAAATAAATTATGGTAAAATGTTAAATAACAAGTTATGGAAGGAGTTTGTCGATTTAAAAAAAGGTGGTGCCCGCCACCCTATCGATATTTTTAGAATGTGCTCTAGAGTAGAAAAAGGTTGGGAACCCCTGCCCTAGATCTAGATCTATATTATATTTTATACATCAGAGTAGCCAGCCCTTTGTTTACAAGGGTGAAGTAGTAAACAAACTAGACCGTAAACCCGGAAATATACTTTAACGATTTATTTATACTAGATCTAGATCTAGTTTTAGAAATATCGCTTTATGACATGTAAGTTAAAAATACTTTTTTTTCATGACCTTTGTTAGTAGAACGTAGAACCTATCTATAGCGACACCGAAGTCTGATTTGAATCCGGGCTGCTAAGTATTAGTAAGGGGCGTACGGCGTAAAGGTAATCTATCGTTTTGGGTACGTAAAATCGCCCGCGGCTATTAATTAATGTACGAAAACGTTACCTCATTGTCAAGGCTGTAATAGAAGTATATTTTGATATGTTTGTGTCAAATATTATAGATAAATGAATAATAAACCTAAATCAATGGCTAAATATATTAATATAGGCCAGAAATTAACTTTAAACATCAGTGTCTGCAAGCAAGATTTGCTATATAAACAGCAGCCATTTGTAAAATAGAGTGACTTCCGCCTGAATCTCGCGCTATAAGTCTATAAAAATAAAACTTTAACAAGATGGCTGCTATAGTAAATGAGCATGGTTGCATCTGTTGGAAACATCGCTGGTGTTCATTTATTACTGAAAAGTTTTAATTCAATTGTTTAAAAACAGGTACATAAATGAAACAAGGAAACATTTTTGTATTTTTCAAAACATAAATCCTCCTCAAAATGTGAAATAATTATTAAAATTTAAGGAGTCACCTGTTTTTCACATTACTAGTCGCGGGCGATTTTACGTACCCAAAACGATAGATTACCTGGGTTATAGATCTAAGTAAAAGTAGGCCTATAGCTGGTAATTTTTAATGTATAGGCCTACAATTTTTTTTAGCTTAATCAATTGTATACTATACTTTCTTACTAACTATACTAATGAATTTACTATTAGACTATTAGTATTAGTCTCATACTTATGAGTTATTAACTTAATCCTCATTACTCCCTGTGGAGTATAGGGCAGGGCAATCACAAATCTCCGCCATTCCACTCTGTCCTCGACGAGCCACTTCAATTCGTGCCTGGTCTTGCCAAATCAATTTGAAAACTATTTAAAAAATCTGTCTAGAATTTATATTCCTGATTTTTTTTTTACCAACAATTCTTATTAATTGTAAATTCATCAATAATAATGATATTCTTTCCCATTTAAAAGCTTAATTGAATGGTAGAGCATTTGGCTGCTCTCCCAAATGTTTTGAGATTTTAATCTCTGTTCAAAGTTGTGATTGTAAGATGTCCATGAGTCCACTCAGTTCTGATGGGTACCTGACTTATGTTGGGGAAAGTAACAATATTAAAAAGACAATTCAATTACTGTATAAAATTTATGTAGATTTTAATAGAGCACTTTTGTTTCATAATTTATTATAAATATTCATAAAAATTATCGTTTTAGATTTTATAGAATTTTCACCTTTGTAGTCACTTTTCCCTCTCTATATATTTTTTTATTGAGCATGTGTGAAGCCCTGTTATAGAAATAGTTTTTTTTTTAAAGTTCTAATTAAGCTAGAAATATAAACATGATATCAGTGGAAAGCAGGCATTCTCCTCTAGCTAAGTGAAATGGATTCAGGATAAAATACTCAAAAATTTTATGTGTCACTTTTACCAGGTACTAGCATGAGACATTTATTTTTTTGTATTTTATCCCAAATCCAATTTCCCACAGGACAGGAAATTAAATCACAATTCTAACAAGTTTATGTTTTATTTCTTTTTTTTATTGAATTGTCTTTTATTAATTAGTTTTTTTTTTAAATTTAGACTCTCTTTTTCATTAAATTAAGTAGTGTTTTTACTTCTTCCATTTCATTAAGTTAATCAATGTTTTTAATTCATCCATTTCATTAAGTTAATTAGTGTTTTTAATTCATCCATTTCATTAAGTTAATTAGTGTTTTTACTTCATCCATTTCATTAAGTTAATCAATGTTTTTACTTCATCAGATACAATGAAGACTACATGGAGTCTACCTTGTCTATTAGTCAACAAAAACACACTGTTTATTCTTATTTGTTTGGTAAAAGGTAACAAATGCTATATATAATAAATAATATATGTGTAAAATAATTTGTATATAATTGTAAGTTAATTTGTTGTATAATATTTTTTAGCAAAATTGGACAGTACTAAACAACAAGTTTTATTTCCAGCGAACCAATCATTGATTCACTGAAACCCAATCATTGATTCACTGAAACCCAATCATTGATTCACTGAAACCCAATCATTGATTCACTGAAACACAATCATTGATTCACTGAAACCCAATCATTGATTCACTGAAACCCAATCAATGATTCACTGAAACCCAATCATTGATTCATTGAAACCCAATCATTGATTCATTGAAACCCAATCATTGATTCACTGAAACCCAATCATTGATTCACTGAAACCCAATCATTGATTCACTGAAACCCAATCAGCCCCAAGTCTGTCCACTCTATGCCCCTTGTGTATACTATAAAATTAAGCCTCTTGTGTCTACCAATAATTATGCCCCTTTGCCAATGCTAAAATTATGCCCCTTGTGCTAGCTATTAAAGGACTGCTTTTCCCCAGACACTTTGAGTGCCTGTACAGCCAACAGCTCCCAGACTTTTGATGTTATTGAAGAAAGTAATTACGACAGGTCAGGTAGTTTCTATTTGCACCTAACTTTGTTCTTGTTTTATTTTTTTGTCTAATACATGAAGACTGTGAGTTGGTGCACCAGTAAACCTTGAGTTGGTGACCTTGAGTTGGTGCACCAGTAAACCTTGAGTTGGTGCACCAGTAAACCTTGAGTTGGTGCACCAGTAAACCTTGAGTTGGTGACCTTGAGTTGGTGCACCAGTAAACCTTGAGTTGGTGCACCAGTAAACCTTGAGTTGGTGCACCAGTGAACCTTGAGTTGGTGCACCAGTAAACCTTGAGTTGGTGCACCAGTAAACCTTGAGTTGGTGACCTTGAGTTGGTGACCTTGAGTTGGTGACCTTGAGTTGGTGCACCAGTAAACCTTGAGTTGGTGACCTTGAGTTGGTGCACCAGTGAACCTTGAGTTGGTGCACCAGTAAACCTTGAGTTGGTGCACCAGTAAACCTTGAGTTGGTGACCTTGAGTTGGTGCACCAGTAAACCTTGAGTTGGTGCACCAGTAAACCTTGAGTTGGTGCACCAGTAAACCTTGAGTTGGTGACCTTGAGTTGGTGACCTTGAGTTGGTGCACCAGTAAACCTTGAGTTGGTGCACCAGTAAACCTTGAGTTGGTGCACCAGTAGAGTTGGTGCACCAGTAAACCTTGTTTATATCTTGCACAGGACCTACGCCTCCATCACTGAGGATGGGAAGCGGCCGCTGGGTTTCATGAAGGCAACCTGGTTCTACAACCAGCCAGACAACCCTTGTGTCCAAATTACAGCAGCAGCCAACAAAAGAGTTGAATTAATGGTCAGTTTTGGTGGATGGTCAGTTTTGGTGGCCGGTCAGTTGAATTAATGGTCAGTTTTGGTGGATGGTCAGTTTTGGTGGCCGGTCAGTTTTAGTGGCCGGTCAGTTGAATTAATGGTCAGTTTTGGTGGCCGGTCAGTTTTGGTGGTCGGTCAGTTGAATTAATGGTCAGTTTTGGTGGCCGGTCAGTTTTAGTGGCCGGTCAGTTGAATTAATGGTCAGTTGTAGTGGCCTGTCAGTTTTGGTGGCCGGTCAGTTGAATTAATGGTCAGTTTTGGTGGCCGGTCAGTTGAATTAATGGTCAGTTTTGGTGGTCGGTCAGTTTTAGTGGCCGGTCAGTTGAATTAATGGTCAGTTTTAGTGGCCGGTCAGTTGAATTAATGGTCAGTTTTAGTGGCCGGTCAGTTTTAGTGGCCGGTCAGTTTTAGTGGCCGGTCAGTTGAATTAATGGTCAGTTTTAGTGGCCGGTCAGTTTTAGTGGCCGGTCAGTTTTAGTGGCCGGTCAGTTTTAGTGGCCGGTCATTGAGAAGACAATCAGTCAGAACACTAGACAATCAGTCACAAGACAAGTTGGGTTTTTTTTTATTTAGTAGTGTTGAATTATTTTTTTTTAGTACATTTGGTTCCTATTTTCATTTAACAAATTTTATAAACTGTTAGCTTTTTTTTTGTTTTCATTGTGTTCATTAAGTTCATAGACTAATGTTAGGATTTTAGCCATAGACTAATGTTAGGATTTTAGCAATAGACTAATGTTAGGATTTTAGCCATAGACTAATGTTAGGATTTTAGCCATAGACTAATGTTAGGATTTTAGCCATAGACTAATGTTAGGATTTTAGCCATAGACTAATGTTAGGATTTTAGCCATAGACTAATGTTAGGATTTTAGCCATAGACTAATGTTAGGATTTTAGCCATAGACTAATGTTAGGATTTTAGCCATAGACTAATGTTAGGATTTTAGCCATAGACTAATGTTAGGATTTTAGCCATAGACTAATGTTAGGATTTTAGCCATAGACTAATGTTAGGATTTTAGCCATAGACTAATGTTAGGATTTTAGCCATAGACTAATGTTAGGATTTTAGCCATAGACTAATGTTAGGATTTTAGCCATAGACTAATGTTAGGATTTTAGCCATAGACTAATGTTAGGATTTTAGCCATAGACTAATGTTAGGATTTTAGCCATAGACTAATGTTAGGATTTTAGCCATAGACTAATGTTAGGATTTTAGCCAGTCTGGTTTTGACCAGGCTTGCACTGACCAGATAGTTTAAAGATAAGGGACGTAGATTAGTCCAGTCAGGGCTTACATTTATTCTGTCTAACATTATCTTATTCAATTTTTTTGTGTAGTATGAAACAGTACCAAAGGCCAAGTTATTCTGTCTAACATTATCTTATTCAATTTTTTTGTGTAGTATGAAACAGTACCAAAGGCCAAGTTATTCTGTCTAACATTATCTTATTCAATTTTTGTGTGTAGTATGAAACAGTACCAAAGGCCAAGTTATTCTGTCTAACATTATCTTATTCAATTTTTTTGTGTAGTATGAAACAGTACCAAAGGCCAAGTTATTCTGTCTAACATTATCTTATTCAATTTTTTTGTGTAGTATGAAACAGTACCAAAGGCCAAGTTATTCTGTCTAACATTATCTTATTCAATTTTTTTGTGTAGTATGAAACAGTACCAAAGGCCAAGTTATTCTGTCTAACATTATCTTATTCAATTTTTTTGTGTAGTATGAAACAGTACCAAAGGCCAATTTATTCTGTCTAACATTATCTTATTCAATTTTTTTGTGTAGTATGAAACAGTACCAAAGGCCAAGTTATTCTGTCTAACATTATCTTATTCAATTTTTTTGTGTAGTATGAAACAGTACCAAAGGCCAAGTTATTCTGTCTAACATTATCTTATTCAATTTTTTTGTGTAGTATGAAACAGTACCAAAGGCCAAGTTATTCTGTCTAACATTATCTTATTCAATTTTTTTGTGTAGTATGAAACAGTACCAAAGGCCAAGTTATTCTGTCTAACATTATCTTATTCAATTTTTTTGTGTAGTATGAAACAGTACCAAAGGCCAAGTTATTCTGTCTAACATTATCTTATTCAATTTTTGTGTGTAGTATGAAACAGTACCAAAGGCCAAGTTATTCTGTCTAACATTATCTTATTCAATTTTTGTGTGTAGTATGAAACAGTACCAAAGGCCAAGTTATTCTGTCTAACATTATCTTATTCAATTTTTTTGTGTAGTATGAAACAGTACCAAAGGCCAAGTTATTCTGTCTAACATTATCTTATTCAATTTTTGTGTGTAGTATGAAACAGTACCAAAGGCCAAGTTATTCTGTCTAACATTATCTTATTCAATATTTTTGTGTAGTATGAAACAGTACCAAAGGCCAAGTTATTCTGTCTAACATTATCTTATTCAATTTTTGTGTGTAGTATGAAACAGTACCAAAGGCCAAGTTATTCTGTCTAACATTATCTTATTCAATTTTTGTGTGTAGTATGAAACAGTACCAAAGGCCAAGTTATTCTGTCTAACATTATCTTATTCAATTTTTGTGTGTAGTATGAAACAGTACCAAAGGCCAATTTATTCTGTCTAACATTATCTTATTCAATTTTTTTGTGTAGTATGAAACAGTACCAAAGGCCAAGTTATTCTGTCTAACATTATCTTATTCAATTTTTTTGTGTAGTATGAAACAGTACCAAAGGCCAAGTTATTCTGTCTAACATTATCTTATTCAATTTTTTTGTGTAGTATGAAACAGTACCAAAGGCCAAGTTATTCTGTCTAACATTATCTTATTCAATTTTTGTGTGTAGTATGAAACAGTACCAAAGGCCAAGTTATTCTGTCTAACATTATCTTATTCAATTTTTTTGTGTAGTATGAAACAGTACCAAAGGCCAATTTATTCTGTCTAACATTATCTTATTCAATTTTTTTGTGTAGTATGAAACAGTACCAAAGGCCAATTTATTCTGTCTAACATTGTCTTATTCAATTTTTTTGTGTAGTATGAAACAGTACCAAAGGCCAAGTTATTCTGTCTAACATTATCTTATTCAATTTTTTTGTGTAGTATGAAACAGTACCAAAGGCCAAGTTATTCTGTCTAACATTATCTTATTCAATTTTTTTGTGTAGTATGAAACAATACCAAAGGCCAAGTTATTCTGTCTAACATTATCTTATTCAATTTTTGTGTGTAGTATGAAACAGTACCAAAGGCCAAGTTATTCTGTCTAACATTATCTTATTCAATTTTTGTGTGTAGTATGAAACAGTACCAAAGGCCAAGTTATTCTAACATTATCTTATTCAATTTTTTTGTGTAGTATGAAACAGTACCAAAGGCCAATTTATTTTGTCTAACATTATCTTATTCAATTTTTTTGTGTAGTATGAAACAGTACCAAAGGCCAAGTTATTCTAACATTATCTTATTCAATTTTTTTGTGTAGTATGAAACAGTACCAAAGGCCAAGTTATTCTGTCTAACATTATCTTATTCAATTTTTGTGTGTAGTATGAAACAGTACCAAAGGCCAAGTTATTCTGTCTAACATTATCTTATTCAATTTTTGTGTGTAGTATGAAACAGTACCAAAGGCCAAGTTATTCTAACATTATCTTATTCAATTTTTTTGTGTAGTATGAAACAGTACCAAAGGCCAAGTTATTCTGTCTAACATTATCTTATTCAATTTTTTTGTGTAGTATGAAACAGTACCAAAGGCCAATTTATTCTGTCTAACATTATCTTATTCAATTTTTGTGTGTAGTATGAAACAGTACCAAAGGCCAAGTTATTCTGTCTAACATTATCTTATTCAATTTTTTTGTGTAGTATGAAACAGTACCAAAGGCCAATTTATTCTGTCTAACATTATCTTATTCAATTTTTTTGTGTAGTATGAAACAGTACCAAAGGCCAATTTATTCTGTCTAACATTGTCTTATTCAATTTTTTTGTGTAGTATGAAACAGTACCAAAGGCCAAGTTATTCTGTCTAACATTATCTTATTCAATTTTTTTGTGTAGTATGAAACAGTACCAAAGGCCAAGTTATTCTGTCTAACATTATCTTATTCAATTTTTTTGTGTAGTATGAAACAGTACCAAAGGCCAAGTTATTCTGTCTAACATTATCTTATTCAATTTTTTTGTGTAGTATGAAACAGTACCAAAGGCCAAGTTATTCTGTCTAACATTATCTTATTCAATTTTTTTGTGTAGTATGAAACAGTACCAAAGGCCAAGTTATTCTGTCTAACATTATCTTATTCAATTTTTGTGTGTAGTATGAAACAGTACCAAAGGCCAATTTATTCTGTCTAACATTATCTTATTCAATTTTTTTGTGTAGTATGAAACAGTACCAAAGGCCAAGTTATTCTGTCTAACATTATCTTATTCAATTTTTTTGTGTAGTATGAAACAGTACCAAAGGCCAAGTTATTCTGTCTAACATTATCTTATTCAATTTTTTTGTGTAGTATGAAACAGTACCAAAGGCCAAGTTATTCTGTCTAACATTATCTTATTCAATTTTTGTGTGTAGTATGAAACAATACCAAAGGCCAAGTTATTCTGTCTAACATTATCTTATTCAATTTTTTTGTGTAGTATGAAACAGTACCAAAGGCCAAGTTATTCTGTCTAACATTATCTTATTCAATTTTTGTGTGTAGTATGAAACAGTACCAAAGGCCAATTTATTCTGTCTAACATTATCTTATTCAATTTTTGTGTGTAGTATGAAACAGTACCAAAGGCCAAGTTATGGTAAGTTGTTTTGTTTGTGTATGGGTTGTAGAGGAACTTTCAAATCACTTCCATGACTTATTGGTCCTCTTTAACTAGTACTAGTCTAATATGGTGGTGCCTAAAAAGCTGATTTAAATTTGTTTTAAGCAAATTAATTTAAATTAAAAAAACATTTTCTTCTCTTAATTATTATTAAAATCAGGCATACTAAAACATGAGACAGATATAAAAAGAAATATATAAAAATTATGAATCTAAGTGCAAAAAACATAATGAAAAAAACATGAGAGACCATAAGACTAACCTCAATGTTTAAATACTTTTGACCGGTTTGCAGTATATGAAGTTTCTCTTTTCATACCTTTAGGGGGAATAAATGTGTTAAAACATATTTTAGTGAGATTTGTTATCTCATGGTGGATATACTTTGCGAAGAAATAGGTTGAATTTTTAAATAAGGAAATGGTTTCAATAATTAATTTATATTATACTAATATATTATATATATTTATATATATATAATTATTATTTTATTTTGCGGGTGGGGGGGGGGGGGGGGCTTTTTTCTAGTTCCGCCACTGGTTAATCTGTTTCATGGGGGGGGGGTGTTATACCATTTTTGTAAGGGGGTTGGAGGGTAAGTTATTTTGTGGAGGGGTATGTTGTTTTGTTTGGACAGAGGGGGGGGGGGGGGGGGGTTAGTTACATTTTCATCTCCAAGTTTATTCCCATTAAAAATAGTTAAGATTGAGTTCCAATGAAAGTCATTTCAAGTTTTACATTTTGTCTCTCTGCAGTGTCAGTTTCCAAGGACCAAAACTCTGCTCAGATTCAGGAACAGTAAGTCTGATTTTCTAGTCGTATGTACTTGTACACAACAGTTGCTAAACCTGGAGGCGGCTCCAAAATAGTGGGAGCACTTGGTTGGCTCACAAAATAGTGGGAGCACTTGGTTGGCTCACAAAATAGTGGGAGCACTTGGTTGGGAGAGGCTCACAAAATAGTGGGAGCACTTGGTTGGGAGAGGCTCACAAAATAGTGGGAGCACTTGGTTGGGAGAGGCTCACAAAATAGTGGGAGCACTTGGTTGGGAGAGGCTCACAAAATAGTGGGAGCACTTGGTTGGGAGAGGCTCACAAAATAGTGGGAGCACTTGGTTGGGAGAGGCTCACAAAATAGTGGGAGCACTTAGTTGGGAGAGGCTCACAAAATAGTGGGAGCACTTGGTTGGCTCACAAAATAGTGGGAGCACTTGGTTGGCTCACAAAATAGTGGGAGCACTTTGTTGGGAGAGGCTCACAAAATAGTGGGAGCACTTGGTTGGGAGAGGCTCACAAAATAGTGGGAGCACTTGGTTGGGAGAGACTCACAAAATAGTGGGAGCACTTGGTTGGGAGAGGCTCACAAAATAGTGGGAGCACTTGGTTGGGAGAGGCTCACAAAATAGTGGGAGCACTTGGTTGGGAGAGGCTCACAAAATAGTGGGAGCACTTGGGAGAGGCTCACAAAATAGTGGGAGCACTTGGTTGGCTCACAAAATAGTGGGAGCACTTGGTTGGGAGAGGCTCACAAAATAGTGGGAGCACTTGGTTGGCTCACAAAATAGTGGGAGCACTTGGTTGGGAGAGGCTCACAAAATAGTGGGAGCACTTGGTTGGCTCACAAAATAGTGGGAGCACTTTGTTGGCTCACAAAATAGTGGGAGCACTTAGTTGGGAGAGGCTCACAAAATAGTGGGAGCACTTGGTTGGCTCACAAAATAGTGGGAGCACTTGGTTGGGAGAGGCTCACAAAATAGTGGGAGCACTTGGTTGGCTCACAAAATAGTGGGAGCACTTTGTTGGGAGAGGCTCACAAAATAGTGGGAGCACTTGGTTGGGAGAGGCTCACAAAATAGTGGGAGCACTTGGTTGGGAGAGGCTAACAAAATAGTGGGAGCACTTGGTTGGGAGAGGCTCACAAAATAGTGGGAGCACTTGGTTGGGAGAGACTCACAAAATAGTGGGAGCACTTGGTTGGGAGAGGCTCACAAAATAGTGGGAGCACTTGGTTGGGAGAGGCTCACAAAATAGTGGGAGCACTTTATTGGGAGAGGCTCACAAAATAGTGGGAGCACTTTATTGGGAGAGGCTCACAAAATAGTGGGAGCACTTGGTTGGGAGAGGCTCACAAAATAGTGGGAGCACTTGGTTGGGAGAGGCTCACAAAATAGTGGGAGCACTTGGGAGAGGCTCACAAAATAGTGGGAGCACTTGGTTGGGAGAGGCTCACAAAATAGTGGGAGCACTTGGTTGGGAGAGGCTCACAAAATAGTGGGAGCACTTGGGAGAGGCTCACAAAATAGTGGGAGCACTTGGTTGGGAGAGGCTCACAAAATAGTGGGAGCACTTGGTTGGGAGAGACTCACAAAATAGTGGGAGCACTTGGTTGGCTCACAAAATAGTGGGAGCACTTGGTTGGGAGAGGCTCACAAAATAGTGGGAGCACTTGGTTGGGAGAGGCTCACAAAATAGTGGGAGCACTTAGTTGGGAGAGGCTCACAAAATAGTGGGAGCACTTGGTTGGGAGAGGCTCACAAAATAGTGGGAGCACTTGGTTGGGAGAGGCTCACAAAATAGTGGGAGCACTTGGTTGGGAGAGGCTCACAAAATAATGGGAGCATTTGGGAGAGAGAGGCTCACAAAATAGTGGGAGCACTTGGGAGAGGCTCACAAAATAGTGGGAGCACTTGGTTGGGAGAGGCTCACAAAATAGTGGGAGCACTTGGTTGGGAGAGGCTCACAAAATAGTGGGAGCACTTGGTTGTAGCCAGCACCAGACCAGTCACATGAGGAGGATATCTTTCTCATGTGTTAGCTGACACCATTTAGGGGGGGGGGTAACACTAAGGCAAAAAATAGCAAAATATATAAAGAAAAACAATGATCTTTCGAGTTAAATGAATGATTTATTAGTTAAATAGTCTTCTGAGAGCCAAGTTGACAAATCCCGACAAGATTGGGGGGGGGGGGGGGGGGGGAAGGAGGAGTGGGTGACACCATGACGTAAACTGCTAACGATAGAGAAAACAATGCCAAATCCAGCCGTATTAACAACCTACTATAGATAAACATCTTTAGTGTTATCTGTGCACAGTTTAAAGATATCAAGGGGGGGGGGGGGGTGACACCAACAAAACGTTGTAACATTTGCCTGAGGAAAAAGCTTTAGATGAGAATTGTAATAACTGATATATTAATTGACTTTTGGGATAGGGGTGACACCAAGTTTAATAATTTTCTACTATAGCAATAATTTTTCACTTGAATTAATAATAGAATCAGGCCCTCAATGCTTATTCTAGGTGGATTAATATAAGTTGACGCCGTCGACAAAAGGTAGGGGAGGGGTGACACCAAATACACCGTCCACCGGAGTGGATGAGAATGAAACCACCTGGCGACGCCATTGCATGGGCTAGTAAATATTTCTAATATAAATAACTAGAGCTACACATGTAGGATAGAGCAATGTGGTGGGGTATAGAGATAATCATTGAATCAAGTTGTGGCTAAATAATAGCAATGCATGGTCATAGCAAGAGGATAATAAATGCTGACAATACAAGACATATGGCATAAAAAGCTTGATGATGATGTCTAGTGTTTTAAATAATCAAATACCTTCTGTAAAGAAGGGGGTGGGGGGGGGGTGGGGGTGGAATAGCGTCAGGTGCGCTGAGCAAGGGCGGTGATCATGGTGAGCGAGTTCTTCAGTTACCGGCCCTTTTATCGCACCAGCCTGTCCCATAAGCCTTTTCTCTCTGCTAGGGATGAGGCACATCATAGACTTAGCTCGGCTGAACAGTACGCTCAGGGGGGTCCAGCTGACCGGTGGGGGGGGGGGGGGGGGAGAAAGGGGGTAAGAGGCAGAACATAGGTAAGGGGTAGGGGTGGAGGTCGTAACAAAAATGGCAGTACCACCACATTACTTGCACAGTAAAAAGTAAAGAACTTATGGAAGTTAAGCTAGGTAAAAAAGTAAATAACTTAAAGGCCTGCCGTGTCTTCTCTGTTACAATGTGGTTACACATTCATGCACTGTTTGACCTCTGACCACCCGATAACCTATGACCTTGTGAATGTTTGACCTACAGGGTCAACAGTACCAATGTTTCCTTGCCCAAACCAATGTGGTCAGGCTGGAGTTTTCTGGAGACACGGGAGTGGAGTCTGACATCCAGTTTTGGTATCGATTGGTTATAGGACCAGGTAAGCTGTTCAATGATTGGTTATAGGACCAGGTAAGCTGTTCAATGATTGGTTATCGGACCAGGTAAGCTGTTCAATGATTGGTTATAGGACCAGGTAAGCTGTTCAATGATTGGTTATAGGACCAGGTAAGCTGTTCAATGATTGGTTATAGGACCAGGTAAGCTGTTCAATGATTGGTTATAGGACCAGGTAAGCTGTTCAATGATTGGTTATAGGACCAGGTAAGCTGTTCAATGATTGGTTATAGGACCAGGTAAGCTGTTCAATGATTGGTTATAGGACCAGGTAAGCTGTTCAATTATTGGTTATAGGACCAGGTAAGCTGTTCAATGATTGGTTATCGGACCAGGTAAGCTGTTCAATGATTGGTTATAGGACCAGGTAAGCTGTTCAATGATTGGTTATCGGACCAGGTATGCTGTTCAATGATTGGTTATCGGACCAGGTAAGCTGTTCAGTGATTGGTTATCGGACCAGGTAAGCTGTTCAATGATTGGTTATCGGACCAGGTAAGCTGTTCAATGATTGGTTATAGGACCAGGTAAGCTGTTCAATGATTGGTTATAGGACCAGGTAAGCTGTTCAATGATTGGTTATCGGACCAGGTAAGCTGTTCAATGATTGGTTATCGGACCAGGTAAGCTGTTCAATGATTGGTTATAGGACCAGGTAAGCTGTTCAATGATTGGTTATAGGACCAGGTAAGCTGTTCAATGATTGGTTATCGGACCAGGTAAGCTGTTCAATGATTGGTTATAGGACCAGGTAAGCTGTTCAATGATTGGTTATAGGACCAGGTAAGCTGTTCAATGATTGGTTATAGGACCAGGTAAGCTGTTCAATGATTGGTTATAGGACCAGGTAAGCTGTTCAATGATTGGTTATAGGACCAGGTAAGCTGTTCAATGATTGGTTATAGGACCAGGTAAGCTGTTCAATTATTGGTTATAGGACCAGGTAAGCTGTTCAATGATTGGTTATCGGACCAGGTAAGCTGTTCAATGATTGGTTATAGGACCAGGTAAGCTGTTCAATGATTGGTTATCGGACCAGGTATGCTGTTCAATGATTGGTTATCGGACCAGGTAAGCTGTTCAGTGATTGGTTATCGGACCAGGTAAGCTGTTCAATGATTGGTTATCGGACCAGGTAAGCTGTTCAATGATTGGTTATAGGACCAGGTAAGCTGTTCAATGATTGGTTATAGGACCAGGTAAGCTGTTCAATGATTGGTTATCGGACCAGGTAAGCTGTTCAATGATTGGTTATAGGACCAGGTAAGCTGTTCAATGATTGGTTATAGGACCAGGTAAGCTGTTCAATGATTGGTTATAGGACCAGGTAAGCTGTTCAATGATTGGTTATAGGACCAGGTAAGCTGTTCAATGATTGGTTATAGGACCAGGTAAGCTGTTCAATGATTGGTTATAGGACCAGGTAAGATGTTCAATGATTGGTTATAGGACCAGGTAAGCTGTTCAATGATTGGTTATAGGACCAGGTAAGCTGTTCAATGATTGGTTATAGGACCAGGTAAGCTGTTCAATGATTGGTTATAGGACCAGGTAAGCTGTTCAATGATTGGTTATAGGACCAGGTAAGCTGTTCAATTATTGGTTATAGGACCAGGTAAGCTGTTCAATGATTGGTTATCGGACCAGGTAAGCTGTTCAATGATTGGTTATAGGACCAGGTAAGCTGTTCAATGATTGGTTATCGGACCAGGTATGCTGTTCAATGATTGGTTATCGGACCAGGTAAGCTGTTCAGTGATTGGTTATCGGACCAGGTAAGCTGTTCAATGATTGGTTATCGGACCAGGTAAGCTGTTCAATGATTGGTTATAGGACCAGGTAAGCTGTTCAATGATTGGTTATAGGACCAGGTAAGCTGTTCAATGATTGGTTATCGGACCAGGTAAGCTGTTCAATGATTGGTTATCGGACCAGGTAAGCTGTTCAATGATTGGTTATAGGACCAGGTAAGCTGTTCAATGATTGGTTATAGGACCAGGTAAGCTGTTCAATGATTGGTTATCGGACCAGGTAAGCTGTTCAATGATTGGTTATAGGACCAGGTAAGCTGTTCAATGATTGGTTATAGGACCAGGTAAGCTGTTCAATGATTGGTTATAGGACCAGGTAAGCTGTTCAATGATTGGTTATAGGACCAGGTAAGCTGTTCAATGATTGGTTATAGGACCAGGTAAGCTGTTCAATGATTGGTTATAGGACCAGGTAAGCTGTTCAATTATTGGTTATAGGACCAGGTAAGCTGTTCAATGATTGGTTATCGGACCAGGTAAGCTGTTCAATGATTGGTTATAGGACCAGGTAAGCTGTTCAATGATTGGTTATCGGACCAGGTATGCTGTTCAATGATTGGTTATCGGACCAGGTAAGCTGTTCAGTGATTGGTTATCGGACCAGGTAAGCTGTTCAATGATTGGTTATCGGACCAGGTAAGCTGTTCAATGATTGGTTATAGGACCAGGTAAGCTGTTCAATGATTGGTTATAGGACCAGGTAAGCTGTTCAATTATTGGTTATAGGACCAGGTAAGCTGTTCAATGATTGGTTATCGGACCAGGTAAGCTGTTCAATGATTGGTTATAGGACCAGGTAAGCTGTTCAATGATTGGTTATCGGACCAGGTATGCTGTTCAATGATTGGTTATCGGACCAGGTAAGCTGTTCAGTGATTGGTTATCGGACCAGGTAAGCTGTTCAATGATTGGTTATCGGACCAGGTAAGCTGTTCAATGATTGGTTATAGGACCAGGTAAGCTGTTCAATGATTGGTTATAGGACCAGGTAAGCTGTTCAATGATTGGTTATCGGACCAGGTAAGCTGTTCAATGATTGGTTATCGGACCAGGTAAGCTGTTCAATGATTGGTTATAGGACCAGGTAAGCTGTTCAATGATTGGTTATAGGACCAGGTAAGCTGTTCAATGATTGGTTATCGGACCAGGTAAGCTGTTCAATGATTGGTTATAGGACCAGGTAAGCTGTTCAATGATTGGTTATAGGACCAGGTAAGCTGTTCAATGATTGGTTATAGGACCAGGTAAGCTGTTCAATGATTGGTTATAGGACCAGGTAAGCTGTTCAATGATTGGTTATAGGACCAGGTAAGCTGTTCAATGATTGGTTATAGGACCAGGTAAGCTGTTCAATTATTGGTTATAGGACCAGGTAAGCTGTTCAATGATTGGTTATCGGACCAGGTAAGCTGTTCAATGATTGGTTATAGGACCAGGTAAGCTGTTCAATGATTGGTTATCGGACCAGGTATGCTGTTCAATGATTGGTTATCGGACCAGGTAAGCTGTTCAGTGATTGGTTATCGGACCAGGTAAGCTGTTCAATGATTGGTTATCGGACCAGGTAAGCTGTTCAATGATTGGTTATAGGACCAGGTAAGCTGTTCAATGATTGGTTATAGGACCAGGTAAGCTGTTCAATGATTGGTTATCGGACCAGGTAAGCTGTTCAATGATTGGTTATAGGACCAGGTAAGCTGTTCAATGATTGGTTATAGGACCAGGTAAGCTGTTCAATGATTGGTTATAGGACCAGGTAAGCTGTTCAATGATTGGTTATAGGACCAGGTAAGCTGTTCAATGATTGGTTATAGGACCAGGTAAGCTGTTCAATGATTGGTTATAGGACCAGGTAAGATGTTCAATGATTGGTTATAGGACCAGGTAAGCTGTTCAATGATTGGTTATAGGACCAGGTAAGCTGTTCAATGATTGGTTATAGGACCAGGTAAGCTGTTCAATGATTGGTTATCGGACCAGGTAAGCTGTTCAATGATTGGTTATCGGACCAGGTAAGCTGTTCAATGATTGGTTATAGGACCAGGTAAGCTGTTCAATGATTGGTTATCGGACCAGGTATGCTGTTCAATGATTGGTTATCGGACCAGGTAAGCTGTTCAATGATTGGTTATAGGACCAGGTAAGCTGTTCAATGATTGGTTATCGGACCAGGTAAGCTGTTCAATGATTGGTTATAGGACCAGGTAAGCTGTTCTATGATTGGCTAATTTGTTGAAATAATCTGATCGGATTAGTCATTTAATCAATGTTGAAATGATCCTGGAATTTTCTGCCTCTGCCCACAGAGAGTGCTACAGACCCCAATGACTACTGGTGTGATGGACGAACTAAAGATGAGTTTCCGTCCTCTCTGAAGGAGCTGCCCCAAGACTACCCCCTCAATCTGGCCCCCACCCAGGCTTACAACACAGGGGACAGCCACACCCAGCCCTGCTGCCTTCTTTTCATTTCTCTGTACATCACTCTCTATCATATTGTGGCTGGTAACTTTATGTAGCTAAACCATCTCTTTACATCACTCTCTATCATATTGTGGCTGTTAACGTTATGTAGCTAAACAATCTCTTTACATCACTCTCTATCATATTGTGGCTGGTAACGTTATGTAGCTAAACAATCTCTTTACAACCTTGTCAGTAGTCTTATCATCCATGGCTTTAAAACTATTAACAAACACTAGAACTTGGTTAACATTTGATTTTATTTTTTTTTCAATTTTAATTCCAATAACATCTAGGTTTGAACATTTCAAATGTATATTGATAGATACGTCTCTAGTGATGATCAGTGTGTTCACTTGATTGTTTGAGGCCGTCGGCCATCTTTGAAATAAATCTTTCATATAGTGCAGGGGTCTCCAAACTGCGGACCGGATGCGGCCCGCGAGGTCTTCTCATCCGGCCCGCGGTGATCTTTTTGTCCTCGGAAAAAAAATTGTTTGTTAGAGGTGGCTGAGGAGTGAGGAGCTTTGCCCAGAATACTCAAAACAATTTGAAAATGTAGATTTGGGTGCAAGTACCATTGCCCGTCGTGTTGCAGACATTGGTGAAAACATTGTAACTCTAATAGCGAAAAATACAAGCAAGTTTCACTATTTTTTAATTGCAATGGATGAGTCGCTGGACTACTGTTCCACATCTCAACTGCTTATGTTCATTACAGGTGTGGATGAAGACAATAACAGCACAAAAGTTGGCTTCCCTACATAACTTGTATGGCACTGTTACCGGAGATGATATATTCAATGAGATTAAAAAAACATTTGCTAGTTAAAACTTGGACTGGACTAACCTCAGCTGAATGTTGATGGAGGAAAGTACATGAGTGGCTTAAAGAAAGGCTTGGTTGGACAAGGGAATGAGAAAAACATTCTACAACCAATGTTCCTACATTATTCACCATCAAGGTCTGTGTGCTTAATATATGGGCATTAGCAGTGGACTGAATACAGTGGTGAAGATGGTGAATTTAATAAAGCCACATGGGCTCAACCATAGATAGTTCAGAGATGTATTGAAAGATACAAACACAGAATTGCAAGATGTACCCTATTATTCAGCAGTAAGATGGCTAACTTGTGAGAACATTTTGAGCAGAGTATTCAGGTTAAGAAAGGAAATAGGTGACTTCCTGGAAAGTAAAGGCAAGCTACAGCCATTAATATCTGATGAAGAGATGGTATAGAAATTGGCCTCTGCTGCAGATGAAACTAGTCATTTCAATTTTCTGAACCTAAAACTACAAGAGAGGGAAATCTAGTTTCTGATCTATACACCCATCTAAAGGCTTTCAGATCCAAACTTGTCATGTTTTTGGAACAAGTTCAAGCCAACAACTTGACGCACTTTCAGCAGTGCTAGGTCTTCGTGGCTGAAGCAACCACAGAGTTCCCTACGTCATTTGCATGCGAGATCATCAAAGACCCCCAGCTGCAGTTTCAGTAGCGGTTTTCTGACTAGGATTCAAAGGCAAAAGAAGTGAGACTGTTTCAAAGCCCATTTGAAGCAAATGTAACCAGTTGCCCAGATGAACTGCAGATGGAGGTTATTGGGTTGCAAGAAAATAACTTCCTTAGAGACAAGTTTTAAAAACGGCGGGTGTTTTTTTGTAAGTGTTTGCCCAAGAACAAACTTGGACCTCGAGTGTGTTGTCGGCCCCCGACAGCGTTTCTTTCAGACTTTTTTCTCGCATGGTGGGGTGGGGTGGAAGGTGTGGGGGCGGTAAAAATCTGAATATATTTCGATACAAATTATATTTCGTGGGGGGGGGGGGGGGGGGGGATCCGCCACCCCACAGATATCCATGGAAGAAACTCTGGCCCCCGAACTGATATTTGATAGTTAACGCGGCCCTCGGGCTGAAAAGTTTGGAGACCCTGATCTAGTGCAAAGAATTGATTTGGCACAATGAAAGTATTTTGTTGGGTTGTTGCTGTTTTTGTAATGTAACACTACCAATGTAACACTACCAATGTAACACTACCAATGTAACACTAACAATGTAACACTAACAATGTAACAATACCAGTGTAACTACCAATTTTACATTTCTTGTCAAATTATGTTTGGGTTGACACTTAAACTTGCAGTGTCTCACACTCAATCACACACAATCACATACATTACAATCACGCAACAGATATTCACATATTTCCATAGGCCAGTCTAGATCCACTGCCCAAATATTGCTGTTATTCAGATAACAGATTCAAACTTTAGACATCACACTGACCAACACAACAACTGACCAACACAACAGCTGACCAACACAACAACTGACCAACACAACAACTGACCAACACAACAACTGACCAACACTACAACTGACGTAGCTATGTTTCCCATGAAGAAACATTTTGAAAAGCTCTCTAAAGGGACCTGACTTGGATGGAGAACTAGGAAAGTTTGTCAACATGGTTTTCTCCCTTTGGTGGGCGGATCTCATGATGTCTCCCTACCACAACAACGCGACATAACTTTATTCTGCTTGTATATTTTAAAACTGTTTTCCTTTATATTGAACTTCATTGTGGGTTATTTGTACCAGTGGTGTTTTACTTTATATAAGCCATGGGCTTTACTACATGGTGAACGATATTAGTGACAAAGAAAAGAAAAACTAAATAACTAAAAATCCGACACATTTAACATAACATAGGTTAACAATACCTATTAGAACAACCAAATTATATATATAATTAGTCAACACAGCACCTTATTAAATGCACACACTGATTAAGAGACTTAAATGACACAGTTAAAAATCCGGCTATTCAGTGGTATTTATGTTTTTTTAAAGTAATTTGTATTAATTTTGGCTGTGAAAATAGTATACATTTCATAGCGTACTTCTTTATAAGTTGATCTAAATCAAATTTGAAATAAATAGTTAATGTCTTCAAGTTCTAAAATTGGAAGATGACGGCATTAGTGTTGTGTACTTTCCGTAGTTTAAAAAAGTGGGGCATGTGACGTCATTGTTTTTTGCGTGCTTGTCACAATAATAAACACTTTTCCAGTTGCCTAAGTAAAAATGTTTTTCTACATTCCAATAAGCCTTTATTTTTATTTTATTTCTTTAAATAAAATTTAGTTTATACATTTAAAACATCCAATATATTATTTTCAATAAAAGTCCGTATCTTTAACTTTAAGTTCTCCATATATCGCTGAAGATACTGATAGACTCGGGACATATTTTGCGGACAGAAAGAGAAGTGCGTCATGGGCTTGTATATATTTGGATTGAAAATCCTTGTGGGTTATTTGTATCAGTGGGTTTTTTCTTCTATTGTACTAGGTTTTTTTTTCACGGTAACATTTTTCTACACATTTTTTTCTAAAACTTTTCTACACAATTTACTACAGATTATCACACTTCGAACTGAGCAGGTCTCAGGCAATATTGAAAAATAATAAACATATTTAAATGAGCTTCTTATATTTGTGCATACCAACTTCATTTGTGAGTAGTGTGGTGTGCGCGGTGTGGTGTGGGTAGTGGTGTGCGCAGTGTGGTGTGGGTGCCAGATACATGTTTGTGTGTGTGTGGCTAATTACTTTGGTCATAGTTAAATAAATATTCAGCCATAACGATAGTACATTCTGTGGCCATCATACCCATTGTGTACATTCTGTGGCCATCATACCATTGTGTACATTCTGTGGCCATCATACACATTGTGTACATTCTGTGGCCATCATACACATTGTGTACATTCTGTGGCCATCATACACATTGTGTACATTCTGTGGCCATCATACACATTGTGTACATTCTGTGGCCATCATACCATTGTGTACATTCTGTGGCCATCATACCATTGTGTACATTCTGTGGCCATCATACCCATAGTGTACATTCTGTGGCCATCATACCCATTGTGTACATCCGTTGATTACATACATTTTTTACCAGTGGCCATCACACCCGTTGACCACTTCTTACCAACACGGACACTGAGATAAAATTCTGGTAAGGGGGGGGGGGACTTCCGTAATGGCATACAAGTAAATAGGCAAGCATAGACCAGGTAAACATTACCAGGAGGGCAGGCTAAAGGTCAGCAGGCTAAAGGTCAGCAGGCTTCTGCTTACACGTCTTGGGTGGAGTTACATCCAACTTTCTCCTGACCGAGTTGGCCCACAGGTACCTAGTATGTTGGCCCACAGTTAGGTACCTAGTATGTTGGCCCACAGTTAGGTACCTAGTCTTCTAGGCTGCGTGGTAAAAATATTTCACAACTGCTCATATACGAAACTGACGTATAGTTTATGGTGACTTTTTATGCAGCACAAGCGTACCCGTCCCCGTGCGTTGCCGCGGTCTCAGAAGAAAGTCTGACGGCTAGTCACAACATAGCCCGGGACGAATCGCACCCTGCCCGGGCGCGGTAGGACGCGCCTGATTTAATTTACTGAACGACCATAATACTATATCTTATCCATATTCTATCGCACTCTTGAAGAGGATATGCTCCTTTTTTACTTTTTCCTATATACGAAGTATAGAGAAAGTCTTGTAATCGTGCAAAAAATAAACCGGGAGTGATCTCCCCTAAACTTTCTCGAATATTCTTATATAAAACAACAGGGGATGGGAACTCGGGATATAGTTATGATTTTTAATCCATTTTAAATACTTAAACTTTTTAAAATTATAGAATCTCATAGAGAAAAAGAATTGCGCACCAAGCGAACGCCAAATAACGATGTTCATAACAGTGCGCAATATTATTAGTACTTTATAAATTTACATGCGTCTTTTGAGAAATCGGAAATAGCGTAAATTAGTACTTCCGGTCAACGGAAATTACTCAAAATTTAACAGAAGGTAGAGAATTAGATCTTTTACTTACATGCGAAATGTCATTTATTTATCTGAAACAGTACTCAAGTTATAGGCTTTTGAAAAATTCAAAGCAGAAAAAGTACCACTTCCGGTTATCGGAAATCGCTCAAAAGTTGATACGGATATACGATTGTGATAAAATACTTATATATGAAACGTAATTTTGCAATCTTGTCCGTATGACTGTGTGTTTGTGTGTGTGTGTGTTTTTGTGTGTGTGTAAACACGATAACTTGAGTACCGTTACAGCTAGGTTGATGAAATTTCATATATAAGTATTTTATCAAAATCGTAGATCCGTATCAACTTTTGAGCGATTTCCGATAACCGGAAGTGGTACTATTTCTACCTGAAAAAATTACCAATGCCGGACTGTGGAGAAAAAGTGGGCAAGATCCTATTGGTAAAATACAAAAGTGCAAATGGTGATTGGCCGGACACATGAGACATCAACTAACTAGCACATGACCAGACAGGCTCGAGACTGCCCAAAGGAAAGAATAAAGTCGGTAGACCAAAACAAATTTGGGAAAAAAGTTATCTGTAGGAGAAGAAGAAGCAGCCGGAATAATGTGGACCCAACTTGGAGGAATCGCCCAGAACCAAGCACGGTGGAGAGCTGTGGTTGCGTCCCTTGGCTCCACAAGGGATCCACAGGAAAGTTGCTGATGAATTGAAGTCGATATCTACTTTGTAATGGCGTGTGTGTGAGGGGGAAACAACGATCGAGTGATAAGAAGGAAAGAGTTATCTGGTGTCAATAAAAGAGCTCTTTAGTTTTCTCAAACCTAAATAACTACATAATGTACGGACAATGAACAAATATTTTGTTTCAAAGAGTAATTTAACTTTTCAACTACCACTGTGAATAGAATGCTCTCCCCCCCCCCCCCCCCCCCACAGTCCCACCCTCACCCCAGCTTGAATAGATAACATAGAAGTCTTTATTCAAGTTTACCCTAAGGCTGTACAGGACGACTTAATGCCCTTGGCGTATCGCCGGCCTAACAAGTCTATCAGAAACAAAACAAGATAAATGTTTGTGTGGCGAGGCCAAAGTTCGGGTTCATTTCAAATAGAGGACAGAGCCGACTCCAGCAGTAGTTGTATTTGTTCAGCAAATTCTTAGTTCAAATCTTTTCTTTCTTGCGTTCTCCACATGCTATCACACGCCCCCCCCCACCCCTACATCAACCACATTTTCCCGTCTTCGTTATAACTGACATTAACCCCCCCCCCCCCCACTGTACATGACCCGCCCCACCCCCAAATTTGTGTAGTAGAGTACGTTGTGTTTTGACCAATTACTACTATAAAATATTGTTCTCAGACAAGTATAGATTTTAAAAAAGATTATCTTTTCCCGTTTGTACCCAAGACACATAAGGCAGATGATGTAGAGTTAATATGTTGATGTTCATGATTCTGGTTGAGGTTGTGGTGAGGGTTATCGTTAGGGTGTAAGTTGATGTTGATGTTGATGTTCCTGTTCATGTTCATTGTTTGTGTTTCTGTTTGTGCTTGTGATAGTGGTTGGCTAGGGCAAGGTTTAGAGTTAGGTTTAATGTTATATATATTTTCTCAAAATATTTGCATATAGAAATTAAATTGGAAACTAAAAATATTTATTTCCAAAAAGACGAGCAGTGTTAACACACAGTCACGGTCCTTTTTTCTTTTTATGGAGGCCAGTGCAGGGCCCGGCCGTAACGGCTAGTACATTATTGACAACATATTTGACAAAAGAACACAAAGAAATAATGTTTACTTTCATTTGGTTAACTTCTGTATAGCTACTCAATCTCAAACTGTGATAGATTAGAATCACTGACGAGAAGCCACATTGGTTGTTAACAGTAGTTTATTCACACCATGAGGAGAGAGAGAGAGGGCGGAAGTGACGAGACACTTATATACATAAACATGTAAGGGACATCACTCAAGATAACAATATAAATATAATACTAATACAGAAGAGTGAGTTCCCTTGACTTCACAAGTCTCACTATATTACATCCCTTTACCCTTAGTAAACACAACACATCTCTCAATAGAACAATTTACAGTATCCTAAAATCACCAATTATATTGTAACATGAACACTATGGTAGATTACATCCTTACAAACAATGCACAATATGTTACAACATAATTAAAATACAAACAATGATGTCAAAGTCCTTTTTGACCTTTAAAATCATAGGTCTAACTTATTTGGGACTTTGATTGTCCTGTTTGACCTTCTCAGTGGCTTTTGATTTGGTGACTCAAGATTCTGACCATATGGATTCTCTATCTCAGGAGGTCTAGGATTTAAATCATTAACTCCAGAATTTACATTTTCTGACTCTAGACAACTTGGTTCACTCATATCAACAGAACTTGGTTGTGGAACAAACTGAGTTGGTGTGAACTGTTCAGATTTGGTGGGATTGACAGATTCACACTTATTATCTGCACAAGTTATTTTTAACTGGTCTGCATGTCTACGGACAATAAGTCCATCATATTTGTTTTTACTTTATAAGACACAGGTCCTGTACATTGAACAATTTGACCTGGTATCCATTTTTCCTTTCTCCCATAATTTCTTAGATACACATTCTCATTAACACCAAATTCTCTTTCAATGAATGTTTGTCATGATTTAATGGAACTATTTTTGAATTGGCATCTGAAAGTATTATGCTATTATTCAGATCCTTAATTGACATAGATTTCTTTGATTGATCAATTTCCTCAGGTAATCTGATAGTGCTTTCCTGGTAACCAAAAATACTGTTTATGGGTAATATTCTGGACCATATCACTTTGCAACTGTGATCCAGTATTTGAAATGGGTGTATTAAATGGCAAAAATCTTTTTCTTCTTTTGATGTTACCCTTTTAGTTTCTGTAAGTGCTAATGATGTTAGCAAAGTTGTTTGATGATATAACTTTATCTAGTGAAGTAAGACTAGATTCTTTTGCATTGTTCAATGAACAAATACTCTCCCAATTTAACTTAAGATCAACTAACCAGTTCCTACCTAGTAATGGTGGTCCATTTCCTTCAACCACAAGAAGAGGAAGTTTAACACTTTGACCATTATCACTTACATGAACCATACACTCTCCTATTACCGGAACATTGTCACCAGTGTATGTTGTTAGACACTTGTGACATGGTTGTAGAGGCACTGATCCTCCTGTGACAGCGTCAAAGTCCTTCTTTGTGATGACTGTTAGAGATGCTCCAGTGTCAAGTTGGAAGCTGATGCTCTTACCGTTGATATAAACTGGTACATTGATGGGAGCATGACTTATTGATTTCACAGAGAACAGGTTGAAATCCGGCTGCAAATCAATTTGAGCATTTTCACAGGTAGAGTGGTTCATTGGTTGGGTTAGGTAGTCTTGGTGAGAGTTAACATAGTGCTGCCTTTGGTTGCGGTACTGTCTTGACTGGCTAGATTTAGCAACAGGCGAAGACTTTGCAAAGCAGGCCTTGGCAATGTGACCTTGCTTACTGCACTTATAACAAGTTGCAGACTTGAACTTGCACCGATGAGATGCATGGGGACCTTTGCATCGATGACATTTTTGATAAT